TGTTAAAGGCACTCTCGAGCCTCACCCTGTGAAGCCCGAGTTCGCCTTCGTGCTCAGCAAGCAAGCCAGCGAGTCAGCGATCCAACCAGCCAGCCAGCCAACGTCGTACAGCGTCGCCGCCCCCCGCCCTCCTAGCCAGCACCTCTGACCTGACAGTGTCATCACTTCTTTAAAGTAAGTACAGTGATATACACGGCCTAGTTAAGCGCAAAAGCGAGAAAGAGCAGAAACGCGTACCGAATGCATATTTGCATTCGTTTTGGGCCCCCTCCACAAATCTGACGCATATTTCCATTTTTTCCTGTCCAAATCAGATGGCGGCCGGGTTCGGTGTTTTCAACGTGATGAGCCACGTCACCCCCTTCGTCGCGGCCCGCGACATAACCCTAGGGCAACACTTCGTTGCCGTGCGTATGGGAAAGACGACCACTAAGTTCGGGGAGCGCCTTTATTGCGATCATTTTGATAAATACGGGAAGAAAATGAGGCTAGTTCTACCAAAACGCTATGATGGCTTTCCTGATCGCGATATCGATGAAATCAATGAACAAATAGATGACGGGAAGCCCCCCGTCATTGTGCCCATAAAGAAAATAGGAGAGGGGTTTATTTTTCAAATATACCCCTTCGGCGAGGTGCCGGAGCTCCCCGCGGCCCGTCGCGCAGTAGAGTCAGCGGCAGCAGCACCCCCCGCCGCGCTTTAACAACAGCACCTGATTGTCGCAGCGCTGGGCCCGCTCCTCGCTCTTCATGTCACAATGGCAACGGATTCGCGACTTCCTGGACTTGGTCAACGAACCCAACATGCACCAGCAGCACCAACAACACGGCGACGGTGGAGAAGAGAACGAGCAAGAGTCCTCTCCCGAAGTTCTGCTGGAAGGCATTTCATGGGTAACAAATGAAATATTCAATGGGTTTCTAAGGACGCACACTCTCAATGTTAATCTAAGCGTTGACCCGGCTATTGTACTTATTGGGGAAAGGGAGAGAGCGTGTGAACTTATAACAATAGATTTTATGTATCATAATGGAGTTAAATTTCATCTTAATCTTAATGTCGAAATGACAAAAGTTGAATTGACAACGGGGGATATAACTAGTACAAAGCCATATTTTGCAAGTAAAACAGTAACCGTTGTAAACATTGATCAAATATTTAATTTCTATGAAGAATGTGTAATGCAAATTTCTGAAAAAATTGCAAACTTTAACGAGAATGGGTCAAATTTTACTGTGTACAGAGTAATTAAGTTTGAAATTCATACTGTGGGATATAGGCCACTGTCTGCCGGCAGTTTCCTTCCTCTTCCTCCTCATGTTCAAAGTAAAAAAGCATGTATAAATTTAAAAAACTCAGATAACAGATGCTTTCTCTATTCAGTGCTACTGGGTCTGAATATAGAAAATGTCAATGTTAAACGAGTTGCAGAAAAACCTTCTCTTCTCCTTAAGTACGAGGATCAGCTTGATATGACTGGTATTAAATACCCTGTAAAACTATGTCAAATTAACAAAATTGAAATTCAAAATAAAAATATCGCATTAACAATAATTGGATACTCTAAATCTGACGGTTTTTTCCCTTTGCGAACCTCTAAGGCGCTTCTTGATCCGCATAGAACTCGTGTGGATCTGTTATACATTAAACCAGAAACCACTGATGGTAGTGCTAGGAAGAGGAAGAGGAAGGGGAGGTCTCCAGGCAGGTCGTATGTGCTAGACGAGGCCAGGGATGACGATGACGATGACGATGAAGAGGAAGAAGAGGAGGAAGGGGAGGAAGAAAATGACGGAGAGACTAAAAATACTGGTCATTATATTTTTATTAAAAATCTCAACCGTCTCCTCTCCCAGTGTAAGTCGAAAAAAAATGGGCGTAAATTCACCTGTCGGAATTGTTTCTATCAAGCAAGTTTTAAATTATATCTTACGGCTCATGAAAAACATTGTCTATCAATGGACTGTCAAAGGATTGATTTCCCCCTGAAGGGAAAAATGAAATATCTTTCAAACATGCACGTTACACTTTAAAAAGACCTTACGTCTGCATAGCTGACTTTGAAATGTTCGTGTTACCTGAGGCGCACGGCCAATCGCGTCATGTGCCTATGGCTGTTTCATTTCTTGTCATGGGGGACGATGGGCGTCTTATGCACCCGATTGAAGTCATATTTGGGGAAAATTGCGCTGAACGTTTTCTCATGAAAATTGTTAAGGTTCATGCAAAACTAGAAAAAGAGACCCATAAGAAAATCAAACCTTTGACCGCCGCTCAGGAAGCGGTAATGACTGATCCGGAGGGTGTCTGTGGTCTGTGCAAAAAACATCTTCCCATGGATCAGAGATGCGCCGACCATGATCACGTAACGGGGCTCTGGAGACAATTACTTTGCGTTAGCTGTAATAGCTCTTTAACACTGAGTCGAGGCATGGTTGTTGTTTTTCATAATGGCGGATCCTACGACTTTGCCGCTATTGTCCTGGCCTTAAAAACAGTGGCGGAGCCAACAGACACTGTAAACGTAGTTGCGAGGAATTCTGAGAAATTTATATCAATCACTTGGAACAGAATTAGGTTTGTTGACAGCTTCCTTCTAGCCAGCGCCTCCCTGGCGGCGCTGAGTTCTGTGCTAGAACCTAGTGATTTTAAAATATCGGCCCAGATATTCCCGGATCCCGAGCAGTTTAAGCTTATAACTAAAAAGATGCCCTTTCCTTATTCTCATTTTAGCAACGAGTCTGTGCTGGACGAAACTGTTTTACCTCCTATTGAATCTTACTACAACGATCTGACTAAAGAAAAATGCAGTTCTCAGACATACGAGGAGGCTAAAAATATCTGGACTACTTTCAAACTGAAAAATCTTAAACAGCTTGTAAAGCTCTACATTAAAACAGACGTCTGCTTATTGGCAGATGTAATGCATTGCCATCGTAGTACGCTGTACAAACATTTTGGAATAGATCTCTTTCATTTCGTGTCCTTTAGTAGTTTTTCATGGTCGGCTTGTCTTAAAACAACAAATTTGCACTTAACTACATTACGATGCGGTGAAATGTACAGGTTCTGGTCCCGTGCGATGTTTGGCGGATTTGTTACTGTGACTTCCCAGAGGGAAGTCGCAAATAACCCGATGTGCTCCAACTATGACCCGTCTAAACCTATGACCTGGTTAATTTACGTAGATCAGATTTCTCTCTACGGTACGACGATGTTGAATTCTAAACTGCCTACAGGAGGGTTTCAGTTTCTGACTGACGATGAGGTAAAGAATTTTGACATTACAAAAACGGATGCCGATGGAGATGTGGGATACCTCGTGGAAACTAGCTTCTCTTTCCCCGAATCACTGCATGATAAATTTGCTGACTATCCTCCCTGTCCAGAAAAAATTATCGTTTGTCCGGACGATTTGTCCTCCCGGTCAAAAACACTGGCTACGCTTTTAAGCATGAATCCATACAGTAAAGTTGAGAAGTTGGTCGCGACTTTGCATCCCAGGAAAGAGTATGTAATACCTCTCAAGTCTTTGCAGACTATTGTTCGTCTTGGGGTTCAAGTCGATAGTATAACTCGTGTCATGAAATTCTCTCAAAGTAAAGTGCTTGCTCCCTATGTTAAATTGTGCATGGATTTAAGGGCCGCTGCCCAAAATAAGGTGGAATCAGAGCTTACAAAATTGGCCCAAAATTCTATTTTTGGGTTCTCGCTTAAATCAGAGCTAAAACAAACTGATATTAGACTTGTGTTTAACAAGAAAAAATTACAAAAACTTGTAAATTCCCCTCTGTACCACCGTGCTACCATTATCGGCCAGGACGCGGCTATCGTTGAAATGAAGCGGGCTAGCGTATGTATAACATCACCTGTATTTCTAGGAATTAGCATTTTGAGTTTTTCCAAAGACATTATGATTAAATTTTGGTATGACCGAATTAAGAATTTTTTTGGTAGTTCTGCTCAGTGTGTGATGAGCGACACTGACTCAAATGTCATTAAAATAACAAAAGACAGTCCAAATATTTACAAAACTGACTTGTTCCCAAATTTTGGAGACTTAATCGATTCAAGTAATTACGATCCAAAAAGTGAATTTTTTTCGTGGAAAGACGAAAAAAGCCGGGGTGTTTCACAGATGAGTTAGGAGGTAAAATTCTGCAAGAAATTATATGTTTAAAACCAAAAAGTTACTGTGTAAAAGTGAAAGACGGGCCTATGACGTTAAAGTCCAAAGGCGTTCCGACTGCAATAAGGAAAAGTTTTACATTCGATGATTACCTGCACTGTCTGGAAACTATGGAGCCAAAATTAGTAAAGTTTAAAAGAATCGGTCATAAAAAGCAAATTCTTTGGACTTTTCAATGCAAAAAAATTGCACTTTCTTGCCTTGATACAAAGAGGTATTGGCTCGACACTCCAGGGACTTATGGCTCTCTTCCTTTTGGGCATTATGCTATAAAAACAGCTGATCCGAGTGCTGCGAGCTCAGTAAGCGATGGCCCTTCGTCTTAGACACCCCGCCGCTATATATTGTGCCGGTAATACAGGACATCTGTAATAAGCAAACATAACCTCTAAAATATTGTACCTAATCTGTATATCTCTCTGTGTGTGTGTGTGTGCTCTATAGGTCAGTCCCAGTCCGGCAAGACGCACTGGATATATAATTACTTAAGAAATTTAAAAACACTGTATGCGCCTAACATTAATTTTAAGACAATTTTGTATTGTTATGGGGAAATAAATGCTATTAAAAATATTCCTAACGACATAAGACCTCTCTTAACTCTTATATCCGGCATCCCTGAAAACCTAGTTTCTCTGGTTAAAGATACTCCAGCTATAATAATTTTTGACGACTTATATTCTTCGGTATTTTCAAACAAAGAGATAGTAGATTTGTATGTAAATGGCGTACATCACTGCAGTATAACAGTGATTTTAACGACACAAGTATTATTTCCCAAAGAAAAAAATGCCCGAATTCTCGCGCTAAATAGTATGTATTATTGTATCTGTCCAACAAGCCGAATTAACGCATCATTTGTTTATCTAGCGAATCAAGTCGCAGAACCCGGGGAGCGAAAAGTTCTTATCGAGGCGTATAAAGACCATATCAAGACCTGTCCTCGGAAGCCGTTCTTTTTGGATTTGCACCCCTGTACTCCCAGCTGGGCGCGCTACAGATCAAATATATTTGAATCCGACGAGTGTTGTGTAGTCTATTGTCCTCAAAAAATTTATAATGAGCGAGCGTTTGCGGAGGAAATTAGCCCATCTAATTGTTTTGAGTAATTCTTGTAAAAACGTGCAAAATTCTCTGCTCCATAACCCTGACAAAGAGCTTGTAGCTGTCCTCAGCAGCTGTGTGTTAAACGCGATTCGAAATCCCGATGTAAAACTTAGTCCGGCCTGTTTGAGAAAACTCAAGCCCTATAAAAACATTATAAGAACTTTTGCATGTCCTAAAACTTCTCAGAAGGCAAAGCAACTAATACTTCGTAAAAAACAGACAGGAGGCTGGCTGATTCCAATTATTACATCTCTCCTGGGAAGTGCTATACCTGCTTTAATTAAACAATTTTCTGGCAAAAAAGAGGCAGAGTAAGATGCAGAAGATGTATTTATTTTCGGATTCTCAATATAAACGTCTACGCGAAACACATCTCACGCCGGCTGAAGTCAATTTCCACCAGGTTTATAGAAAAATGATTGATGTATTACATCGTACAGATATTACTGACGATGAAAAATGGGGCATTTATGCCCGCCTGTTTGAAAAATATCTCTCGCTTGTACGAACCGAGGGGCTAGACGCGGCTCCTCCGCCGGGGGAAAGCTACACGACGACGACGACGGCTGAGCTGATGCCTTCAGCCGCACCGGCCGCAGCGGCGTCAACAGCGCCAGTCCGATGGAGCGCGTCTCGGCGGAGTATGCAGTTTGAGCATCCCGCTGAGATTTTCCCCAGCACGCGCGAGACACAGCCAGCGCCACGAAAAAAGAAATCTGCAGCAAAAAAAGCAGACGATGTTAACATATCGCCTCGTAAATTACGGGGCAGAAACATTGGAGTGCAAACGTCTCCAGCTAGAGAAAGGCCTCAGCCTCAGTCTAAAAAAGTTATTCCTGCTAAAAGAAAAATTACCGAGCCCATGACTCCCGTTGTTCCCGGTAAAAAAGCAAATCGGGGTTTAAATTCAGACTCGGAAAACGAGGAATTTGAAGAGGCTCAAGATGGCGCAGGTGGGAGGAAAAGGAAACGTTTCTCATGCAAAGGTCTATGGAATTTTATGTAATTTGTAAAAAATAAAACAGACGTCCTATACCCATATATAAGCGTGCTTACTTTATTTCACTTGTCACTCTCCCTCTTCTCTTCCTGGCTGGCGCATCTACAGATACTCTGAGGAAGTCTGAAAATGAGCAAAAAAGCAGAAAAATTATTACAAAAACTGTATTTATCGCCACCGTCTTCCGTCCTTTTTCGTTCGCAGGGAGCGCTCGAAAAGGGCCTCAAGAAAGTCGACAAAAAGATAATTCAAAATTTTTTGCTGAGAGAGCCTGTTCATACAACTTTTAAGAACGCAAGGAGGAGATACCCCACGCACGGGTATGACAACCTGACAAGAGCTGGAGTGCTGCTGCAAGCCGATCTTTTAGATGTTCAAAAACTGTCAAAGTACAACTCTGCAGTCCGTTATTTACTTTGTGTGATTGATGTTTTTACTAAAAAAGTTGCTGTAGCCCCCCTAAAAAATAAATCGGCCGCGAGTGCAGCCGAGGGTATGAAAGCTATATTGCGCGACTTTCACCCCCTTCGCATTCAACAAATTTCTCATGACCAGGGGAACGAGTTCAAGGGGGAATTTCGCCAACTTTTAAAGCGAAACAAAATTGAATCAAGCTTTGCTCTTGTCTCTCCGCATAAGGCGTCTGTAATCGAAAGATTTCACAGAACACTTCGGTCTTACATTTATCGATATTTATATCACAACCAAACGAATCGATATGTTGACGTTCTCCCCCTCTTAGTCAAATCTTACAACAGCGCTGTCCACCGGACCACTGGTTTTGCTCCAAACAAGATAAAGAAAAAAGATTTTTACAAAATTTGGTCGAAACGCATTTTAGAGGCACATCGACACGGGCGGCCAGAGAGACCGCCGCGATATACCATAGGCGATACAGTGAGAGTGTCAAAATTACGTTATAGCCCGTTTGAGAAAGGAACTGAGCGTAGCTTTACTGAAGAAATTTTTCATATAGTCGATATTATTCTCAGACGACCGAAAAATATATACATGTACACTCTGAAGGACTCGACAGGCCAGCCGATAGTTGGCCGTTTCTACGAGCAAGAACTCACACGAGCAACCGTGGACCAGGATACATTATTTAAAGTGTCTCGAATTGTTTCGTATAAAAAGATCAGAAATCGGAAATTTTTTTTAGTTGAGTTTGAGGGGTACCCGAAGGAGGCCGCAAGCTGGGTACCGGAGGAAAACATACAAAAATATTGAGGAAAAAATAATTATGGAAAATCAGTTCCAGGTGATTCTGACTAGTGACAGTAGTATGGAACTATACCCGGAGAATAAACTGTCAGAGTTTACAAATTATTTGGCTAATCCGCTTCGATTCGGAAGTGCCTACAGCAAATGGGGAGTTGGAGTTAAAACTATATCTTTTCCGCCCACTTCCGCGCCTGCAACCAGCAAGACGACGGCCAATACAAAAACTGGGGAGATTGAATCAAATATTTATGTGTATCTTGATATTGTTCAAGAACAATACATCGGCAATACGAGCGCAAAAATCGCGGTGTGCCTGCCACCTGCTTATGTCCAATCGTATCATGAATTTGTTAATATAAATTACATTCCTTTATCCAGGCGTGATATACAGTCCATTACGGTTGGAATAAAAGATCGCTATACAAATTTGTACCCCTTCCAAGCGAGCCACCATACAACCCTGTGCGTTTTAGCGTTTAAACGTCTAGTGTAATGGGTGGAAGATATATCTCTGTATCACCCCAAGCCTC